AGAGCCGGCACTATGGAACATTGATTATTCTGTATCGGAGCTGCTCTAAGATTTAGGGGGGGGGTGTATAAGCGATTTATTCAATATTTTAACTTTTATTTTTTTTACAAATTTGGAGATCTAAAATGTTTGTTCTGGAGCTTATTTCTATATAATTTTTTTTCCAAAAATTTTGGGAGTTTCAGACCATTATTTCATTAGCTTGGCTCAAGACTGGTTTAGTAAGCCATATTTGTAGTTAAAGGTTAACACTATGCAGTTTTACACACATGTACGGTAGATATTCTATAAATTAATATTTTTTTCTGGTCCTAAGTTGGATCGGTTTAGAATATGACACAAATCGATAAAATAATACAATAAAAACTTTATAGAGAATCCTATGTAAATATATGGTTCCGTTCAAATTATAAGTTAATAATTTATATATATATATATACATATTTTATATAAAAATGAATCTATCATTGTATTCTTTGTTTTACATTCACAATAAAATTATCTTTATATTTTTGTAAGAATACATATTTTATATAAAAATGAATCTATCATTGCATTCTTTGTTTTACATTCACAAAAAAATTATCTTTATATTTTTGTAACAATTTTATATATTTTAACAATATTTAGTAAAATTATATCTAAAACCACCTTTAACTTCTATGAAATATATTTTATATACACCAAATAATATACTAAACCAATATAAATGTCAGTTTAAAAAATAATTTATATATTAAATATATATATATATATATATATTTATTTCTTTATTTATTTTAAAAATATCTTAAAATAGAAAGATCTAATTTTTTTTTCTTAAATTAATAAAATTAAAAGAAGTAGTGAATCGGAATACTTTGTAAATGTTTAAACTTAGTTAACAACTATAATAATACAAAACTTAAGCAAAAAATTATAATTGTCATAAATTTTTTCTCTTTTTTATGTAATACTTTTATATACGTAAAATGTGAATAGAATTTATCAAATCATATGTTAGAATAATAATTATATAATTTTATACGTTTAAAATTTAAATATAATCAAGATATCTATACTATTATTTGCGAAGTGATTTTTCGCGACGGAGCTCTCACGTTAAAAGTTAGAGCGGCTAATATCGATTATACCCTTAATGAATAAATTATATGAATTAATTAAATACAAAAACGAATTTAAATATTTAATTAGATAAGTTATTTAAATAATAACAAAAAGAGTTATCCAAAATCTGAAAATATATTTTATTTTTAAAAGATAATTCCTATATATATTTTATTGTTATCCGAAACTATCTTTTGATAAAATATTTAAAAATTCAAAAGCAGAAAACAAATAATTACATAATAATTAATTAAAATTCTTAATTTTATATAATTGAAGAGATAATATTGAATAATTTTTAAGATTAAATTACATAATAATTAATTAAAATTCTTAATTTTATATAATTAAAGAGATAATATTGAATAATTTTTAAGATAAATAAAAAAATTCAAAATGCAAACACAAATAATAATTTATGCTTCCTTTTTATTATTAATATATTTACTAACAAATAATTATAAAAGGCTTAAGCCCGCATGGCGGGCAAAACACCTAGTATATATATATATATATATGTATATATATATGTATGTATTATATAATGCCGGATCGGAGCGGATATCCGTTTCCCAAAATTTTAATATTTGTGATTTGATTTGATTTTAACGGATGTTAATTTTTATTATTTGTTTTGCTTCGTAAATTTACATACAATGTCGGTCTAACATTTTTATTCTTTTGCTTGATGCCCTAAATTCACTTACAATTTTATGTCCTTATTGTTCATGTAATTTTTTAGTGCCCTATATATAATTAAAATTATCATTTAAAATTATGATGCCCTAAGATGTCGTTTACTTCGATTGTGCTCCAGACCGGTAATGTTTACGGATATTCAGAATATTTGAATAAAATCAAAACGAATAACGAATCGAATTAAATTTAACTATTAAAAGGGATAACACAAGCACACACAAGTGTTTTTCTGAGTTCAGTGATATTCAGAAATGGTGTACTGTTATTGTTCTTGTCTACGTGAACCCCATAGCAACCTATAAGTATCATGTGAATGCATGTCAATCACCAATAGAAAATCATTTCTGGATGACAAATCTTCAATAATCTGGAGAAGTATAATTATCATTAAGTTTATATGAGTAAGAGTATATAGATTAAACCAGTTCATATGTTTAGCTGAAATGTTTTGATTGTCTGTTATTGTCGTTGTTCGATTTGATAAAACACTTGAAAGATTATGTATGAAGAACTATTTTCACATAAAATCTAAACATCTACGTGTATATTTATAATCTAAACAGCGGATGTAATAGTCTTCTATGCAAACAAAGGTGGAGCGGTATGTATGGCCAACATGAGGGGGAAGTACTCGGTGAGTCAACTACTATGTTTGGTTTAATTTAACATATGATAAAACTAAATCAAATGATAAATATTTAAATAGTATGTAATTTTAATGAATTGCCCAACGAGAATTAGTAGGTTGAATTGTAATGGCATTTGATGTAAATACTCTCGTGAAGAATGGATAGTTTAATATGTAGATTGAGAATGATTGTGGTGCTGCCACCTCAGCATGGCACCCTTGTAAATAACTTACACATTGAAGGTTGGTTTTTCAAATTGTTTCTCTATTAATAAGAAAGGGATACTCTTACTCATATAAACTTAATGATAATTATACTTCTCCAGATTATTGAAGATTTGTCATCCAGAAATGATTTTCTATTAGTGATTGACATGCATTCACATGATACTTATAGGTTGCTATGGGGTTCACGTAGACAAGAACAATAACAGTACACCATTTCTGAATATCACTGAACTCAGAAAAACACTTGTGTGTGCTTGTGTTATCCCTTTTAGGGCTGGATATTTTAATCGTTAAATTTAATTCGATTCGTTATTCGTTTTGATTTTATTCAAATATTCTGAATATCCGTAAACATGACCAGTCTGGAGCACAATCGAAGTAAATGACATCTTAGGGCATCATAATTTTAAATGATAATTTTAATTATATATAGGGCACTAAAAAATTACATGAACAATAAGGACATAAAATTTTAAGTGAATTTAGGGCATCAAGCAAAAGAATAAAAATGTTAGACCGACATTTTATGTAAATTTACAAAGCAAATCTAATAATAAAAATTAACATCCGTTAAAATCAAATCAAATCACAAATATTAAAATTTTGGGAAACGGATATCCGCTCCAATCCGGCATTATATAATACATACATATATATATATATCTTGATTATATTTAAATTTTAAATGTATAAAATTATATAATTATTATTCTAACATATGATTTGATAAATTCTATTCACATTTTTACGTATATAAAAGTATTACATAAAAAAAAGAGAAAAAACTTATGACAATTATAATTTTTTGCTTAAGTTTTGTGTTATTATAGTTGTTAACTAAGTTTAAACATTTTCAAATTATTCTGATTCACTACTTCTTTTAATTTTATTAATTTAAGAAACAAATATTTAGATCTTTCTATTTTCAGATATTTTTAAAATAAATAAATAAATATATATATATTTAATATAGAAATTATTTTTTCAGCTAACATTTATATTGGTTTAGTATATTATTTGGTGTATATAAAATATATTTCATAGAAGTTAAAGGTGGTTTTAGATATAATTTTACTAAATATTGTTAAAATATATAAAATTGTTACAAAAATATAAAGATAAATTTATTGTGAATGTAAAACAAAGAATACAATGATAGATTCATTTTATATAAAATATGTATATATATATAAATTATTAATTTATAATTTGAATGGAACCATATATTTACATTGGATTCTCTATAAAGTTATTATTGTATTATTTTATCGATTTGTGTCATATTCTAAACCGTTCCAATTTAGGACCAGAAAAAAATATTAATTTATAGAATATCTACCGTACATGTTTGTAAAATTGCATTGTGTTAACCTTTAACTACAAATATGGCTTACTAAACCAGTCTTGAGCCAAGCTAATGAAATAATGGTCTGAAACTCCCAAAATTTTTGGAAAAAAAATTATATAGAAATAAGCTCGAGAACAAAAATTTGATCTCCAAATTTGTAAAAAAAAAAATAGTTAAAATATTTAATAAATCGCTTATACACCCCCCCCCCCCTAAATCTTAGAGCAGCTCCGATACAGAATAATCAATGTTCCATAGTGCCGGCTCTACACCAATGCCAGCAATGCATTTGCACTAGGTCTCATCTTCTTTTCAAAATTTTACTTGTATTCTTTTATGTTTTTGTAAAAAAAGCCCTAATTTTAGATAAATACAGTTTTAAATTTTAATTTAAGAAAGTAACTTGCACAAGGACCCATATTGAGCCGGACCTGTTCCATGAATAATAATCTCAAGAGGGTTTAAAGGAAAACTTCTTGAGATCTCATTTGTCCAGTCATTTAGATTTGAATACTCTCTTACGAGTCTTTTATATATATGGTTGAGCTAAAAAACCTCGTCATATATTATGATCGTGACGGTCGAATGTCTGGCTCCGTCATTTACAGTATGCTGCTTGAGTTGTAGTAGCATTTATAACATACGCTGCCAATATAAAAGTTTGTTTAAATTTAGACACATAAAAAGTCACGTTATTTTCACAAGTTTAGGTAGTTAAACTCACGATTTCTTACGGTAGGTCAAACATACATTTATGGTCATGGTTTAGATAACCATTTCAAATAAGGAAATTACTTACTTTTACCTTTTTTGATTTATTCAAGTTTAGTGAGTTTTCCTTTTAAAGAACAATGGTAAGATCACTTAACCTATAAATACATGTAATGTATATTCATGAAAACAAATAAAAAATCATTACGATTTCTTACTCAAGCTTTATCATCTTTCCTTCCACCTTCAGCTATGTTGAGAAGAAACACATATTCGAAGATGAGCCAAATTTTAGCACTTTCTTATGCTATCTCTGTATTTATTCTTGGCTCCGTTACACTGGCGCATTGGGTTTCTCATCGTGGTGACAAGAATGCCCACAGGAATTTTTTGAATGGTATCGTTCGGTGTTCTTTTGGCCTCCTTGGACTAGTACTCTGTGGCGCTTATAAACATTATTCTGTTGATGATGATGATGCCAACAATGATCATCATGATCATGGTTCTGGTACCAGTAATGACCATGTTATTATCAACATCACGGAGCTGCCCAATGGTGACCCCTCCATGGCTCCATCCGCATCCGATCAATCCCCGTCGTTGATTTCAACACTGGGAAATTTGAGGACAACGTCGAACGTGTCGTTTGTCTCTCCGAGCTCGCCGGCGGAGACGAAGTCAAGGTTTTACCGAGCTGTAAACATGGGTTTCACGCCCAATGCATCGACGCGTGGCTTGAGTCGCAGAGTAAGCCTGTTCCACTTGTTCTGATGAGCATTCAGCAGATGTGACACCGGTTGTAGTAGACATCCCGACAACCTTCGAAGTTGGAGATTTTGGGCCCCATTACATCCCTGACCCCATTATGATTTTCTTACATACAATGTCGAGACTGCTGTATTTTTATGAGAAAAAAGTCCGTTTTTGCAAAGATGAAAGCTTCCAAGGCCTAAGGCTTTTCCTGATACAACTTGAGCAAGAAGTTAACGTGGCCATCTCCATGAAGACCAAATCAGTTGTTCAGAAGTTTTAGTTTCCATATTGCCTTTTTATTTAGTGGGATTATATTTCCTTAATTTGAGGATGTGTGTTGCTTACCCACTCACGTAGTAGTTAGTTTATTTCCTTCATTAATTTTGTATTTAAGCATGAGGCAGAGTTAAATGAAAGGGGAAGAGAAAACTGTAGTAAACTTGTCTTTAAAACCAAAGTGTTCTTGTTTTGATCAACATTGATTTCGTCATTTCCCCATAACTGGGACCTATCATTACATTACTAGTCATTCTCAACACACTCGAGAATTGGTAGTACAAACTGAGGCACAATAGTCAATTCAAGATTCTCTTGTACTAGCTCTTTCAAATAAACTAGGTACTGTCAACAAACCGTGTGCATATTCTTACTAGAATTTTAGTTTATATTGATAAGCTTCCTGTATAAACATCAAAAGATCACACAAAACCATTAGCTACCTTATTAGACTATCATATCAAACCGGAATCATTTTATAATAGAGATTAGAGTAAACCGGTTAACATGTTGTTAAACCGTGTATTGAGGTATAAATAGAAAATGACGTTGTAACAAACTCTTATGAAATCAATAACAATAATCTTCTTCTTCTTCATTTTCTCTCTTGCTCAAGTGTTCGATCTCTGGATCTAATATGGTATCAGAGCCTCGTGCTCTTCTCTTCCGCTTCCTCGATTCGATTCAGCGTTCGTTCTGAGCTTTTCTCTTTCGATTTCATATTTTTCTCGACTTTGATTTCGATTTTGGTTTGTTCGTTATGACTCTTATGCTTACATTGCCATTTTGGTGTATGTTGATGATATTTTGATATTGGGTAATAATGATGATGCGGTTCTTCAGTTTAAAGATGTGTTGAAGGGTGCTTTTAAGCTTCTTGATATGGGTCCAGCGAAGTACTTTCTTGGCTTTGAGATTGCAGGGAATAGTACTGGGATTTCTATTAACCAAAGAAAGTATACTCTTGAGTTACTTGAGGATTCTGGTTTGTTGGGTTGTAAACCAGTGAGTGTTCCTATGGATCCTACTTTGAAGTTGTCTGAAGATGATGGTACTTTACTTCCTGATGCTTCAGTTTATCGACGTTTGGTTGGTCGTCTCCTATATTTGACCCATACCAGGCCTGATATTACATTTCCTATTCACAAGCTCAGCCAGTACATGGCTCATCCGCGTGATACACATTTACAAGCAGCTAATCGAGTGCTTCATTACTTGAAGAATGCACCTGGTCAGGGTCTTTTCTATTCTTCTTCTTCAAGTAACTGCTTTCTCTGATGCGGACTGGTCTGCATGTCTGATATAGTGTGTTTTTGTCATAAAATAAGTACTTTCTACTAATGGTTTTTAATGGTTTTATCGAGTCTTTCTAGTTGTTTGAAGTTATTACAGGTTGAAGAGTTCCATAGATGAGGAGAACGATCGTGTGAAAAGAAAAGAGAAGAAAAGAACCTGTTTCGAAGGTTTTCTTGATATGAACAGTCTGGCAAGATGTTCTCGTGTGACCGGAACAGCTTGACAAACTGTTCCCCGACGATCTAGGAAATAAAGATTCTATTTCGGAATTTGTCCTAGTTTTCCCTATTTTTCTCTTCTGCCGCCTGTGGCTTACTATATATTCCCCTTTTTATTTTCCTAGGCTTTTTACCTTAGTTTTTATGCAAGAGAGACTTGAGAGCTTTGATTTGAGCAATTGCTACTTGTAAGGGAGACGGCTTCATCTATCTCCTTGAGAAGATCATCCTGAACCCTCTGATTTCTTATTTATTTTGCATGCAGTATTATTCAGAAATCATGCTCAGTTCTTGTGTTATGTCTGAGTAGTCATCAAGTTAGTTTAGGGTTCTAGGGTTGGTTTCGTTGGCTGAGCTTAGATAAGTTAATCTAAGATTGTCTACATTCATAGTCCTACCTTAATGCTTGCATCGAATTGATCACTTGTTGCATGAACCAGGATTAATTGATTTAGCTAACCGTTGATTGATAATCTGATACGAATTGAATGAGCTTAACATCCCTAGTCAGCGAGAGTAGATACTAGGGTGTTCTGTGAACTTATCGGACTTGATCTCTAAGGCTTGGTGTCTTGTCTTGATCCAAACGACAGTTTAGGTATCAAGGGAAATCAGCAAAGGCAATCAACACCACGACAGTGGGTTGATTCAACAGAGTGATCCGAGTTTAGACTAGCACATATTGAACTTGAATAGTAGCTCGGCTTGCGAACTCCATTCCCGTTAGGAAACCCTAGACTAGCGCCTTTAACCTCTTGAAAACAACCTCGCTTGTTACTTGCTTTTTAAGTTATTTCTTTTACTTTAAAAACCCCTTTTGTTTTAGCTATATTTTGATCCTATAAAGATAAAGTGTAGACTGGTCCTCTGGAATTGAATCTAAACGTATTACAACTACATTGTTAACTTGACAGTAGACAAAGATCTAATTTTAGTGTATCAAGTTTTGGCACCGTTGCGAAGGAGACCAGATTTGTACCTTTATTTTTCGGTTATTTATTTAGTCTAAAACTTATAATTTGCTTATCCCTTTTAATTGCAGGCTGATGAACCAAGTGCATGACCTGTAGACATACTCGGAGAAACGCACAAGGAGAGTTAGTCACGCTTTCAAATCAGGAGCTAGCAAGGTTAGAAAGAACAAATTGTCAACAACAAAGACCGACCAACGTCAACATGGGCGACTACGGTACACCAGAACAAGTAGCAGCCTCCATGCAACAGATGCGTCAAGAGATGCAACAAATGCAGGAAGCAATGGCTGCACAACAATTAGCTGCTCAACAGGCAGCACGTGTGGAGCAACCTGTTCCGATCGGAGAACGAAACCAACCACGTAACATTCCTGCAACGCGTTCTGCTATCGCTCCACCAGCATGCCAAAGAGCGGACTTCGAAATCAAACCTGGCATGATCAATCTGGTCCAAAGAAAGATGTTCCATGGGTTACCAGCTGAAATACCAATGGAACACATTGAAGCTTTTGAAGAGATTTGCGGTTTCAATCGTGCAAACGGTGTGCCACCAGATTTCATCAAGTGCATGTTGTTTCCATTCTCTTTAGCAGATAAGGCTTCAAGATGGCTCAAATCTTTGCCAACGGGGTCCCTCACTTCATGGGAACAAGTCAGAGCAGCCTTTCTAGATCACTTCTACACCAAGGCGAAAACAGCTGCGTTGAGAAACAAGATCACATCCTTCAAGCAGCTCTCTAGTGAGCCATTTAATGAAGCGTGGGAGCGTTTCAATGACATCCTCCGAGACTGCCCGCATCACGGTTTCGGTGATGACCACGTTCTTGGAATCTTCTACGATGGGGTTGCATGGGAGTTCCGTAATGCTTTGAATGCTGCTAGTAACGGAGATTTTATGACTCAAACTACTGAAGGAGCGAATGCCTTAATAGAAAACATGGCAGCTAGTGCGTCAAACAAAAACGAAGAGATCGACAGCTCCAAGAAGGTGAACAGCATGGACACTAAGAAGATTGATGATATAGCCGCTAAGATGGACCAGCTGCTCAAACATAACCAGAATCAAATCTACGTCCTGGAGGAAGCTTCTCTTGACCCAACATCCGACATGGCAGCTAGTGCGTCAAACAAAAACGAAGAGATCGACAGCTCCAAGAAGGTGAACAGCATGGGCACTAAGAAGATTGATGATATAGCCGCTAAAATGGACCAGCTTCTCAAACATAACCAGAATCAAATCTACGTCCTGGAGGAAGCTTCTCTTGACCCAACATCCGCTGACACAGCAACTGAAGCGGGAACACTAGATGCAGACCAACAGGAGGTCAGCTATGTTAATGGTCAAGGATGGCAGATCAAGAACTTCCATCCAAATCCTAATGTGAGAAACAATCAGCACCTTTTCTCATACAAGACCAATTCAGAAAATCCAAACGACAGACCTCAAGGAAACCAACCTCAGAACTCCGGATATCAGAAACCGTTTGCACAGAATCAGAATGGAAAGATGTTCGTCCTCAGCCAAGCTCAGAACCACTATCAGAATCGACAGACCAATCCGCAAACTAATTCAGCAAACGTGAGCGGTCCGCCGGATGAACTAAAGGGGATGATGCAACAGCTCCTGCAAGGTCAGCACATTCAATGGAAGGCTCTGAATCAGGTCACCAATGAGATCAACACTAAGATGGATAACATGTTCACGGAATTAAACTCCAAGTATGATGCTGTAGCGAGTCACATAAGGAAAATGGATGTTCAGATTGCCCAAACTGCTGAAGCTGTTAAGAGACAGCAGAGAACACTCCCTAGGAAGACAGACAAGAACCCCAAGGACTGTAATGCGGTTGAGTTAAGAAGAGGAAAACAACTACCAGGACCAATCACAAAGAAACTCACTGCAAGAGAGAAAGGGAAGCAGAAAGAAGGTGAACACCCTAGGCTCGAGGAAACTCATGAAGATGAACACGACGTGGAACAGCCGACTGTCACAGAACCCGTAGCTCCTGCTACACAAGTACCACCTGTTCCCACTCGCGTGTATAGTCCGAAGGTTCCTTACCATGTTCCTGCAAGGAAATCACGAAAGGATTGCGAAGAGATGAAGTGCAAAAAGATGTTAGAAGACTTGACAGTTAAGTTATCCCTTATGGATGCGATTCAGATGATTCCTTCGATGCGCAGCCTTGTAAAGGGATTAGTTTCTGGCAAGATCTCCTCAGATAACTGTGGGAACCGAGATTCACACTTGTCG